ATGATAAAATGGGTGTTGTAAAACAGTTAGCAAAAGGATGGAGTGAATCACTGCGAGACAGAGAGGGTTCTGGTGCTGTTTACTGGTGTTTCTCATTTCTTTTTTCTCGCTGCGTGCTTGGGCCGAGCCCCAGACCCCGGCGCAGGGACCCCAGCTGGCAGGCAGCAGGCTCCCGGGCAGGTGTACCGTGGGCAGGCACGCAGGCTCACACTGCACGTCTCACAGATGGAGGATCCATTTTTTCCCTGGATGATTTGTTCCAATGGTTAATCATCTTCACACACACACACAGGATTTTTTTTATTTTTCTTTTAAACGACACACCAGTAAGTAAGATTCAGAAAGTTTAAGATGGGCTTTCTCTTCACTGGGTGACCTCTTGATTTCTGTCTACTCTATTAGCTCTGTGATGACTGCCTAAAATTAACTGAGACTTCACAGCTTCCCTGTGCCCTTGCAAGACTAGCTTTGAACTCGAAAGCCTCCTACACAAAGTGCTTTGTGATATCAACCTGGTCACGGTAGAGGTGAAAAATGTGGCACTGAAGAAAGTGGCTTTCTGATAAATACATCCACAGTACAACCATGCATGACTCACAAGATCAAAGACAGAGTGCAAGTGCTGAGGTCATTAAACATGAATAGAAATACAGAAATGCAACAGCTTGCATTAAAGGCTCAGCTTGACTTTAAAGTTAAGTGATGAAAGCTTATGTAGTCAGCGATTGTTCAACCATGATAATGCTCTGCTCTTGCCATCGGTAGTTCTGTGCTTTACAAAGGTGAGTAAGAATAATTAATCATTTTTCAGATAAAATACCAAGGTGTAGGGCAGTTAACGACTTGCACCAAGTGAAAACAGGCTCAGGGATGCTCAGCATCATCAGCTCTAGTGAAAGTCGGATCACTGCAGACATCAGGCCCATTGGAAAATCAGCTCTTGGTCACCAGTTCTACAACCCATGGATGAGTAAGGATTTACCCCTCACGAGGTCCTTCGTGAATGACAAGGCATCAGAAGCCACCAGCATAAAAGGAGGTTTGGGGTAAGACTTCCATTGGCACAGCCCCAGCCCAGCGTGACTCTGTGCCAGCTTTTAAGAGACCCCCTTCACTGATGGTCTTTCTCGGATGGCTCCATTTCTTCGAGTACTTTATAATATTCTGAAGCTTAAGAACACCATAGCATGGGAGATTCTTCTGGTTCGTACCACAATAGAGTTAATTGTAGCCTGTGCAATGTTTTGAGCAACTGAAAAGGAAGCTGTGCTAAAATTGAGGATTTTAGGGGACCTCTATTAGAAAACAGCCCCCCTGGTGTGTTTCTAATAATTTTTTGATTTGCAGCATAACTATCTAATAAGGTTTCTGGGGTATTCTGATGCTGTGCAGAATCATCTAATCTGCAGCCTAAATTAATGAAGTGCCTTGAGATACTTCGCATTCTGCCAATACGGGGCTGTTACTCTGTCCGGAGCCACTTCTCTTGGGGTGCTTTGCTGGCAATTCCGAGCAAGTGCAGGTGCTCCAAAGGAGCAAGGTGACTGTGCTTAACTTGTGTGGGGCACGTGGCAGAGGTCCAGCCAAACTCCACACATCCTTTGCTGGAAAGGGAAGGGAAAATGCCAGCTTTGCTCTCCTCTGAGCTCAGCACAACATGTCCCAGGGCAGTCCCACAGCATACGGCAGAGCAGCCTTCTGGAGGTGTAGCTGTATCGCATCCAGGTAGAGCCCCAGGAAAGAATTGTTGCTATCAGACTAAGCCAAATTCCTGCCCTTTTCCTCAAGGCTACTGGCTTCACACCATTCTGGGAGGCAGCTTTGTCTCCCCTGGTGCAGACCTGGTCCTGGAAAAGCAAATGATGACAACTTGCGGGCTACGCGCCGCCCCGCTCATCCTCCACCTCTAGCATGACCACTGAACGAGACCTTTACCCAACAAGATAATTTGGCTGGGGCCGAATATTTCAGCCCCTTTCCTAGCAAACTCTTTCCAAATGTAACAGCAGAGCTGGAAGCACCCCACAGTACTCCAAGTGTTGAGTGCTGTAAACCAGAGATCGCCGTAGCCACTACTTGTTGGGATTTCAGACCAGTGTCGTTTTTTGAGCTGGCCTGACATTTAAGTTTATGCTAAAAAGCTCCACTCACTTCAAGATTTTGACTGGGAACGTTTGCAAGGAATATGTTAAATACCTGGTGAGTGAGCGAAGGTGCCAGCAGCAATCAAGATTTTTCCAGAGCAGCTCTCAGTGCAGCCGCAATTCTTCACCACAGATAATGCAAAAGCAAGTGTGCTGTGACCTCTGAGCCAGACTGCAGAGAATCTCTGGGAGAGGTGATGTTTGTGTTTCCTATGATACTCAGCCCAGAATATTGAAAACTATCATACATCTGCTTGGAGGGGTGTAGAGAAGACTCAACCTACATTCTGGCCAAGCACAGGTAGGTGGAAGAGCTGGGAGAGCCCTGCTGCCGTGCAGCTCACCAAACCCTCCAAGTGCTTTGCGTTTCGGTCAGTGGGGATGGGGAGAGGGATTCAGGCCAGCTGAGATTTTGCAAGTGAGCCCAGGACTTGCACAAAGCGTTGCAATAGCTTCTCACGAGAACGTGGGAAGTACTTATTAACACCCAGCTCTCACTGAGTCTCAGCCACCAGGTCTTCTGAGCGAGACCAGCAGCACTCTGGTTTTCTGATGGGGGGTTGGGGGTATGGAGGCTTACAGCCATACCTCACAGGTCCCAACAGCATCAGCAATGGGTCTCTGTGCTCAGCCCATTCTCCCTAATATTATTTCTCTAACTTTGTTATCCAGAGCAGGTTTTCATCCTCTCTGACACCCCTTCTCTGATCTTGGTCAAAGCATTTAACCTCTGCGACCCACCTCTCCCCATACGCAGGCTAAACGATGTTGTGAGAACCATGTTAATGTTGGAAATGCTATTTTTTTGCAACTTTCTTCTCTTTTCTCAGATTTCAGGAGGAAAATTTATCCTCTGCTGCCTCTCCAGCCCATTCTGGTTTTTTATATTTCTTGGTGCACTCTTAGCCAGCAGGATAGACTTGCAAAGTGGTGTTTGTTGGTGTGCTGGCACCAAGTACCGTTTCATTTTCTGCCACGTGCCTGTCCTTGAGACTCAGTTTCACATTTTCTGGAACGAAGCCCTATTGTACAACACCCATCTAAACCCTGAATTAAAGCTACTGGAGTTCCTTCTCTTTTGTGCTAGCATGGCTAGGATCATAATCTGCCTGATATTACAAGTACCTAAAATATAAAATTAACTTCAAGTAGCGCCTATTCTGCCCTCGGAGAATTTCAGAAGTCCTGAGACAGCCCTGGAAGCTACATGCAAGAAAAAGGCATGCTATACAGCTATTGTTTTTAAACATTTTGTATCCTTTTGCTGTACCAAGGCCAAGTGTAGTTGCCACTGATGGGTGACAGCAAAGCATCCGTTATCTTCTGTGGGCAAGAACAGGACTCACCCATCTTGCAAGGGCATCGCTGACACAGGGGATGCCTACGCACGGAGATTGACATTCAATACAGCAGCACAGCTCGATAAACTAAGTCTAAATAAAACCATCGGGTCACCCAAAGGTGATTTTTCATCCCCTGCATATATGATTGACTATACAACTCGTGCTTAATTTTTCTAGAAATGAAAAATCTGGTCCCTGCAGCTTTTAAGGAGGCTTTAAAATAACTCTTTTCCCATCTCTGTGGTTTAAATAGAAACATAACCATACTACTTATAGCCTGGAAGAGAGATGCCAAAATATCAGGCATTTTTAATAGAGTAAGAGAAAGAAAACATTGGCTTGGGTATCAGCAGGATTAGGAAAAAGTAGGCAAGATTTGAGTTAGAGATCCCAGTGCTAGGCCCTTACATAGGAAGCTGCTTAAGTTTTAAGGGAATAAGGTTCTGCAAAAGTTGGAACCCTGCTGAAAAGACCTAACAGTAGAACAGGCATGTAAGGTATACTTGGAACGCAATTCCCAGCCACACCACACAAGTCTACCCTGTTACTCGCCAAGATTCACTACGCTATGGCCTCATATTCCAGGATGAAAACGCAATTAGCATGGATAACCAACTTCTGCTGCGATCTGAAGTCCTTGACAGCTTTCTTGCTGTACCCAGATGTATTTTCAAATACTTTTGGAAACGATCATTAAGTCTCACTTTGTTTTCAAGGTATTCCACCCATGGTCATGTTTCTTAGCCCACCTCTGGCAGTATCAGTACAGCCCCACCTTCCTCCTCTCTACCGCTACACCGAAAGCTCCAATTGTAAACTTCTCCTTAGGCACTTCAAGAAACGTTGCCTCTCTGGTGTTCAAACCTGAGCTGGGGGTGGAAAGCAAGACATAAAACCAAACCAGAAGCCTCACCTCGTTTCATTCTCTGCCTAAATCTGAAGCTGCTGCCTTAGTCCTCTTCTAATCCAACTGTCACACACGTCTCTTCCGTGCTCTCCTCACAGTCAGGACAACTATTTCTCAGCTGATGTCTAACAGCTTTGGACTACTCTCTACAGAAATACTCTTAGCACAGATGCAGATTTCTTCACAGAAATTGTGCTTATCTCTGTCATTTTGTGTGTGACCTGCTGCAGCACTGGATGATCGATGTTTGTTAAGCGTTACATCATACATCAAAAAGCAAGCTTTTGATAGCTAAAAAGTTGTGTCAGGATCCCGGTTAAAATACTTTCAGAGAAGATTTTGAGGAACAATAAAGCAGGTTAAAATGCCATGCTTAAAAAAAGTAAATTACCCATTAAGAATATAGTTTACAAATGAGTACAGTATTAACCAAGCCACCATGTCAAAAAACTGCTTTGCCAACTAAAATTAGCCATCCACAATTACACACTCTTCTCTATCATTAACAGAGCAGCAATTAGCTAAGAGAAACTGGGTTTCAGTAGACACAAAGAATTGTGCTATTAAACCTGTTGCCCATCATGAACTTAAGTCTTCTTAAAAATAGCTTTAGTCACTTTTATTGGTATAAACACCTAAATTGAGATCTAACAGCAAATAAGGATTGTGCTTGTCCATAATAACCTCAGCTGTGAAATCTACTCAGACACAAGACATACAACCTTCCACATACACAAGTTATTTGTCAGCAAAGCAGAATGCTGCCATTCTGAAACAATTACATACAGTAAAGGTTTTCAATATTTTATTAAAGAAAACAGTCAAAATGTACAAGTATTACCCAGGTTTGTAGATAACTTCCTATAAAGGCAGTAAAATATGAATTTCAATCTAGGTTTTAAAAACTGCTATAGTTGATTATTTTTAAAGTTGGTATTTTAAAATCACGTTTCACAAATAGTTCTGAAATATTACCAAATGAATAGTGCAACAAGAAAATTGAAATTAGTTCTACACTGTTTGCAAATGTCAAGCAAAAGTTATAAGTAACTGCTTCAAATACTCAAACCATTTGAGAATGAATGAACCCAATAGCTCCCACCAAAAACTGACTTCTGACCACATTAGGAACGTCCTCTTCTTGTTCTTCACTTAAAATCAAATAATAATAAAACAACACCTCTTGAGGTCATCAAAAATAACTTTAGTATAAAATTGTCTTGGCCCTTATCAAATATTACATGAGTAAAATTGTTAAGCCTTTATCAAAACAGACAGGAATACGGAAACAAAAAAAAAATGTCATGGCCTTAATCCGTATCTGTTGGAATCATGTCTAGAAACGTTAGAAGCAAGACCAGAAACTCGGAGCCCTGTTTTTGTTTTTAAAAACCACACAATCACAAAGAAAAACAGCTTCTTACTGCCTAAGGTTTGGGGGTGTTCTGCTCAAGTACCTGTTCCCATAGACAGCAACCTTTTATGTTCTGAAGAGAGCATACGCAAAATATAGAAAAATAAATAAAATAGCTTCTTACAGCCTAAGGTTTGGGTGCTGGGTGGTGGTTTAGTTATGTCCCCCACAGGTCACACTCTCTTGAGATCATATGCAGAAACATGGAAAATTATATCCATCTTTCTTTTTTTTTTTTTTCTTTTTTTTTTTTTTTAGAAAGAGGAAAACCCCCCTACATCCCAAAGCTCTTGAGATCGCAAAGGATGGTGCCCTGGGTGCTCTGGATGCTTTGGCAGCATGGGAAGTGGGCTCGGAGACAGACCCTGAGCTCCTTGTTGAAGATGAAGCAGAGGATGGGGTTGACCCCTGCCTGGGCAAACGTCATCCAGACGGAGGTGGTCAGGTAGACCTGGGGGATGGAGCTGGCCTTAATGAAGACCCGCAGGTAGCAGGCCACAATGTAGGGGGACCAGAGGAGCAGGAAGAGCAAGGTGATCATGTAGAACATCTTGCAGAGCCTTTTCTCCATCTTAAACTCCTCCAGCACCAGCAGCCTCTTGATCTGGCTGTGGGTGGCCTGCCTTATGCCCACGAGGGTGGGCGGCGTGGGCCCCCTGCCAAAGCCAGCCGTCCAGTTTGCAGCTGCTTGGCCGGTGGCTCCCGGCCCATGGAAGGTCCAGTTCTGGCTGATGGCCGGTACCAGCTGGGCTGGCTTCATCTTGCGGTGACCGTGGATGAAGAAGAGCAGCTTGATGTAGACCAGGTGGGTGGCGGCGATGACAGCCGCCAGCATGAGCATGAAGCCCAGCGTGTCGTTGGCCTTGACGTAGCGGTGCTCGAAGATGCACTGCTCCTCCTCCCGGATGAACTTGTAGGTGCCCACGTCGAAGACGGGGGGGAAGGCCATGGCCATGGAGAGGGTCCACACCATGCACACCACAGCCAGGCAGGTCCAGCCCGTCATGCGCTTGGCGTAGAAGCGGTGGTGGGCGATGGCCATGTAGCGCGTGACCCCCACGCAGAAGAGCAGGAAGGCGGCGTGGAAGCAGAAGAGCACAGCCAGGAAGGCCAACACCTTGCAGCTGAGGGGCCCGTGGGGCCAGGCGGCCCCGCTGCGCACCGACAGCATGACGAAGGGGAAGCAGGCCAGCGAACGGAGCCCGTCGGCCAGGCAGAGGTCCAGCAGCAGGTAGTACGGGGCGCGGTGCAGGTGCCGGTCCTTGAGGATGAGCCAGGCGAAGAGCACGTTGCCCGCCAAGCTCACGCAGAGGATCAAGCCCAGGGTGGCCAGCTTCAGCCCGGAGGCGCTCAGCAGGCCGCCGGCGCTGGGCAGGTGCGGGCTGCTGCT